TGGATACAAAAAAAATGATTCTTCAAATTCATTATAACGGCTACTACCCAAAACAAACAAACAAATAAACTCCAGAAAATAAGTGACATTGAGGATATGGAAACATTGTGACTCTTGCGCACTATTGGTGGGAATGTAGAATGGTGTGGCAGCTGTGAAAAACACTATGGCAGTTCCTCAAAATATTAAAATAGAACCACCATATGATTCAGCAGTTTCACTTCTGAGTATATACCACAAAGAATTGAAAACAAGGACTCAAACAGCTATTTGTCCACACCCATGTTAACAAAATCTTTAGATGGAAGCAATCCACGTGTCCCCTGACAAATGAAAAAAATAAACAAAATGTCTTATACATGTACAATTAGATCTTATACAGTCTTGAAAAGGACACGGATTCTGACACCTGCTGCAGCATGGATGAAGTCTGGGAGCATGAAGCTAGGTGAAAGAAGCCGGTCATAAAAAGATAAATACAGTATGACTCTGCTTATATGAGGGAACTAGAATAGTGATCTTCATAGAGACAGAAAGTGGACTGGTGGCTGCCAGGGGCTGGGGTTGGGGTGGGGTATGGGGAGTTTAATGGGGACAGAGTTTTAGTTTTGCAAGATAAGAAGAATTCTGAAATTCGGTTGCACAATATGAACGAACTCAACACTACCAAATTGCACCCTTGAAAGTAGCTAAGATGATAAATTTTATGTTATGTGTATTTTACCAAGATAACAGTAAGAATAAAAGCGATGGTTACCTGTGTTATCAACTCTGTGTCTGAGAGGTGATGCAGGCTTATGGCTAAGAGCAGGCTCTGGGCTCCCACAGACCTGGGTCTGGATCTGGATTCTAGCTCTGCTGTGTATTAATGGGGTGACCCTGGGCAAGTTCCTCCATTTCTCTAGGATAAAAACTCTGAGGTTAGGAAAGTTCTCTTTATCCAAGTGTGAAATTGTAGCTAGAGAAGATTGTGCCTATGAAACGTGTTTGTTATTTTTTTCTATTAATGCTAATTCAAAAAATATATACATTAGGTGTACATATAAGCCCAGTGACCATACAGCTAGGATTGCCAGATAAGGTAAGGGACATCCAGTTAAATTTGAATTTAACGTAATCAGTGAAAATTTTAAAATAATTTTTCAGTATTAAGTATGTCTTAAATTTCGCATTATATCCCACACCATATTTAGAATATACTTATCTACTAAACAGCTCTTTATGTTTTTCACCTGAAATTAAAATTTTTCTAAGTGTCCCGTATTGTATTTGTGAAACTGAACAACCCTACATACGACATTATTGTTTCTATCACTCAGATAAGTGACAAGTGTTAGCTGGATGGGGGAGGAGATGCTTTGCCAATTCATTCTTGTCCTAATTCAAGTCTGGCTATTAGCAAAGAGGCACGAGGGCCAGAGGACTAAGATGAGAATTGGGTCTTCTCTACTAATCCTCTGTTTTGTCTCCTAATTACAGTTGCTTCAAAACAAACACAAACAGGAATGGGTTAATGGCTCTCCTGTTTCATTTTCTCCACAGCATCTTATTCCAGTAAACATCTGCGAAATACCCTTTCCTCTGCGTTATGTCCCCATTCTCCTCAAAAGCAGAGCTCCCTCTGCGAAGGAGGTGGGGGTCCTGAATCGCTATAGAGGAGCCGTGTTTTGACAAAAATTAATACTGGTTAACACAGTCAACTAACAAAACTTTCCTTTGGGAATTCCCCTCCCATCCTTAAGTGTCTATGATCTTATGAGGTCTACTGTGATTTAAATACTGTTGGCCCTACTTGCACTCACCAGACAGTCTCCTGCTAGGGACAGGGCTGTGTCATTAAAATGGAATCCACTGAGAGAGACAATAGTCACATTCACTGAATAGAAGCACTAAAGCCATGACCAGAATGTTCTGGGCCTGATCTCAGGATATCCACGGACTATATGCTTATGGATTTGTTGAGTTAGCTGGGTGGGACCTTTCTGCTTCTCCATGAAAGTTTGTATTTACCCAAGCTGTGTTGGATTTCTACTGACGGTGGAGCGTGTAGGCATTAGAACTGGGAGCAGGAGATACAGATCTCAGTTTGTCACCCTTGTCCTGGGACTTGAGTGCGCCTTAGAGACTGAATGGGTATGTCCCCTCAAAATTCATAGGTTGAAACCTAATCCCCAGTGTGATGGTAGAAGAGAGTGGGGCCTTTCCGAGGTCATGAGTCCTGAGGGTGGGGCCCTCATGAGTGGGATTGGTGCCCTTGTGAAAGGGACCCCAGAGAGTTCCTTTGCCCCCTCTCCTACGTGACACAGAAGAAGTCTATGAACCAGAAAGCAGCCCTCACCAGACATCAGCTCTGCCGGCGCCATGATCTTGCCCTTCCCAGCCTCCAGGACTGTGGGAAATAAGTGTTTGTTGTTTAAGCCCCCCAGGCTATCATATTTTTGTTATGGCAGCTCAAACATGCTAAGAGAGTGTGTCACTGAGCCTCACAGAGCTTTGGTTGGCGCTGCTGTACGATGGGACCTAATGCACGTCCTCGAGAGCCGAGGGGAAGGACCCACTAAAGAGTTCTGAGGACAAATGTCAAGACTCAGCATGTGTGGAAAGGGCACTTTTGATGAAAGCCTTTCTCCATTCTCTGCACTCCAGCCCCCCTCAAGGTTGAGGGGGTCAGGTTGGGTGTCCAATCTTCTTGTGCTCCACCCCCAACTCTCTGCCCACTGGCCCCGCTCCTTGACTTCCTGAGCCATCACCAAGCCACCGTTCACGCTGGCAACTTCCTGACCCCAGCCTTCTTGGCGAGGCCCCGTGGGGGACCACTGCAGATGCTTGAAGTATGGAGAAGCTGCCCCCTCCCCTTTGAGGAACACAACACCCCTGGGGTTTTCATTAATATTCGGTTTATTAAAATTACACATTTAAAAGCCCAGGTTCCTAAAGCCTTCATGTTTGTGTTGCGATTCTAGTTATTCTCTTTATAAATTTAGGACATTTTATAGAAAATAAGAGGAAACACCTTTGATTAGTTTTTGATGGACTCAACTTGAAAGGACTCAATACCCCTTGAACCATTGGTGTCATTTACATTAATTATTTGTTTCTCTTAAACCGCAGGGATAAATTTAACACACTTCATTTTCTTCCTAAGCAACTTCAAATGCCTGATCCGGCAAACTGATGACTCTGGCACACACGACCTTCCAATGAATGATCTTAAAGTTTTATAAATCTAGTAAATTGGAAATCATAAATATTGCGACTTTTCAAGTTCTCTCAGACATTTGAACTGTGTTTACAAACTTAGGAGAATTATCTTGTAACACCTGACTTCTGATTGTTAAGTCTTGAAATTGCACTTTTAAGCTTGGACTCAGGCAAGCATGGTGACTGGCAGGATGTGGGTCCAGGAGGTCCAGGACCAAAGGTGCCTGGGGTTAGTAGAGACGATGGCTTCACAGGAGCTGGAGGAAAGGTTCAAACACCAGGGAGCATGTAGGGCAAGAGAAGAGAAAAGGTGTGACGGAGCCCAGGACTTCGGTGGCCTGGTAGAAGCTGTTGATAGACCCAGAGAAGGATGCAGGAGACTAAATCAGCCGTCTGAGGCTCTGGGTTCTATGCTCCTAACTTTCAGAGCTGAAAGGAGACCCTTCAGGAGTTGTGCGCTCACCCTGCGCCCTGCGAATGTGATAAATCTTTAACTTTTTTAGCTAAGTCTCCCTACCTGTCAGATCGTAAAGGCAATAATAATTTCTGATGTACGTGGAGAAACAAAAAAGAAAATGGTTAATGAATGCCCAATTTCTAAGTCAATAGGCTCTTTTAAAATAGAAATTGACCAAGGAGAAATAGGCTGTGATCCAGGAGCAGAATGAGGGAAGGGTTTCCTACAGACAAGAGGAATGGAGAGTCCCCTGGGGCTACTGGGGGCGGTGAGGAGGGGGCTGGGAAGAGAGGTGGGCCTGCAGGGAGCACCAGGGTCACAGGGCGGTCACAGCTGTGTGCAGCCACAAAGCACTTGAAATGTGGCGAGTCCCGATGGAGATGTGCTTGTAAGTGTAAAATGCATGCTGTGTGGAAGAACTTATGGAAGAAAGGATGTCAAAGATTTCATTAACACTTTAAAGATATGGATTACATCACTTTCTATACTCTAGATCTTGAATCTATAATCTAGGGATTCTAATATTCTCAATGATAATATTGGGTTAAATAAAATTTATTAAAATCAACAAAATACTATTTATTTATTTATTTATTATTTATTTATTGAAAAGAGAGAGCATGTGTCAGCAGGGAGGAAAGGGGAGAAGCCGAGGGAGAGGGAGAGAATCTTAAGCAGGCTCTCCGCTCAGCACAGAGCCCGATGCAGGACTCAATCTCATGGCCCTGAGCCGAAATCAAGAGTTGGACGCTTCACCGACTGAGCCCCCCAGGTGCGCCCAACAAACTACTTTTTTAAATGTGGCCATTAGAAAATATTCAGTTGTGTATGTGGATTTTTCTCCTGTTTGGACCGTGCTGGGTTAGAGTCCTTAGCAGGATGAAGAGGATCAGCTCAGTATGTCCCTACAGTAGGGTGGATTTTTTTCTTTTTCTTTTTTTTTTAATGCACTGTGGTGTTGAATCTTCAGCTGAACCTGTTTGAATTGCTGCGATCCCCCTTGCCTCCCTCCAGGTCTTTATAGAAGTCTGCTATGTACTTAACTTTCTCTATGTGAGTGTGTTTTCTGTGAGTAGAAATCATGTTGCTCAGGTGGGTCGCTGGAACCGTGCAGACACAGCTCTAGGGGAAGAGGTTATCACGAGAGAGACCAGCCTACTCCACCAGAAATACTTAGATGCCGTGCGGAGGGATTTTGACTTCTACGGGGTGTGGCTTCTGGGCTGAGTCTCAATCATGCAGGTTTCAACAGGTAGCAGTGCCCCTAGGGTCACTGGGGTTACGTCGTTTTGTAGGGATTGTGAGTTTATAGGTAGAAAGCTTTGAGGTTCAACCCTTAAACATGGTCAGTGATGACAGGGTGCACATCCCCATGAGGAGCAGGAGGAATGGACTGCCCACTGCTTTATCTACCTGGCTGCTTTCTGGAATGTTCCAAGTAAGCGAGGTGGATGAGGTTGGAGGAGAACCTGGGTTGGGTGGTGGCAGACCCTTTCTTTCTTTTTTTTTTTTATTTGAGAGAGAGAGAATGAGAGATAGAGAGCACGAGAGGGAAGAGGGTCAGAGGGAGAAGCAGACTCCCCGCTGAGCAGGGAGCCCAATGCGGGACTCGATCCCGGGACTCCAGGATCATGACCTGAGCCGAAGGCAGTCGCTTAACCAACTGAGCCACCCAGGCGCCCTGGCAGACCCTTTCTGTTAGACTTCCCTGTGGCCCTGTCTAGCCAGGGTTCTCACACTTCCCCTGATGGCTCTCTTACTCCTGAGGGCTAACTCACAGCCCTGGCTCCCTGAGGTGGGAATATTCCTGCTGCTGAGCCTCTTGGGTTTATCACCCATGCCTTCTGGGTCCTGGTCCCCATCCAGCCACCCCTTGTGAATCTTTGCAGCAGCCTTCCTGGCACCAGTTCCTGGGAGAAAAGGCTTTCTAGAACCACTCAGGAATTTTGTCAAAGACTCTCCTTCTCCCTGGGGGCTCCATTGTTGTCCCCCCTTCTGGCCTTAAGGAGGCCGAGAAAGAATCCATGGAGCTCACATCTCAACACAGGAGCCAGCAAAGAGTAGTTAGTGACCTCCCCATTTCCAACCAGAAAGCATGACACAGAAGAAAGTCGGGGTCCATAATCCCCAATCCGAAATCCTTCAGGCCAGATGGGATTTCGAATTCAGGCTTTTTCAGCTATTAGGAAGGTAACATGGTACATAAAGCATATCACATCCTGGCAGGTTCTGGGGAAGCACCCACAAACAGAGGCATTATTGTTTTTGTAGTGAAACGTGAGGAGATTCACACTAAGAAAAATAAACAAAAAGCCCAAATCGCCTCATCTCCGCTAGGGACAAGTTTTGATGCCACGTGAGTTTGCTCTTCACTTACTAGAGACAAACAAACAAACTTTTGGTTTTCTGAGCTTTCTGGATGCTGTAGCCCCAACACGCGAGTACAGAGTGGGACGCTCAGTGGGCACCTGTGTGGGCTTGCTGGTGTGGGCTTCACCACCACCCTCAGCGCCCCAGGAGACCCAGCTAGCCCTTGAAAACCTGGTGCAACTTTGGCCTAGTTGAGGGAATAATTCCCCAGTTGTGTTTACCCAAAGTCTGAGAGTTCCCTGAATTTGAGTTCCCCAAATAGTCAGTTTCTGTTCCTTTTGGGGGGCTGTAATGAGGGGAGGCATGGGAAATTTTTCTTTTCTACATTCAACTCTGGAGTATTCTGGAGAATCAAAGATGGATTTTTTTTTTTTTGACATTTTTCTACTTCACATCTAGTTTATAAGTTCATTTTGAATCAACAAGCATTTTAATTGCATGTACTATGTCAGGTACTGCTGTAAGGTAGGGACTATTAGAATCTTCGTTTTACAGGTAGGTTGAGGCCCAGGAGGACCAAAGAACGTGGTCAAGGTCACAAAGCTAGCAAAATGGCAGAGGAAGAATTAAAACCCACAAGTCCAACTTCAAAGTCCATGCTCTTAAACACTATACCACATCCCTTATGAAACATTGGGTTCATGGGAGGTTAAAACATAGAACACACAGGAAGAAAAGCAACTAATTTTTTTAATGAGAAATAAATGTGATTTACTTCTTCCAGCGAGTTAAACCATGCCCTGAAAGCATAAACTTTCCATCTGTGGTCACTTATCTCTCGCCCAAAGTAAGATTCAACATGGTTTTATTTTGGAAGACTTGGCAGTTAAATATGGAGCTTGTTGCCCCAACAATTATATATTTTAATAGAAGAATTTAAAATTAAGTAATGTTTGTAAGTGTAAACTGAATTTCTAGAGCCTAGGAGTAATTTACATTATAAAGAACTTCCTTACTCTCTTCTGTGCATGAATAGGCTTAAAATATGATGATGACTATTATTGTTCACAATACTACAGTTATGACTTTGAACATGCAAATTGCTTTAAAAATCACAAATTAATTATTAATGAGAATATTGCTCTTGACGGTTTATATTGTTTATAAGGAATACGATTGTTCTATAGAAAGAAATGTGTTTCCTACATTGTCATAATTTGGGGTGAATAAACAAAGCTAGCATCTGGCCACATCATTAGGCATTTCAGATCTCCCCTTTCTGTCTTGGTTATTCCTTCCCTGAATGGATTCAGGATACAGGGATCAAAAATATCCTGCCAATGTTTTGGAAGATGAGGATCAAATACGCTTTGATTAGAAATCTATACCCAGCAAATCCATCTGTTTCTATACATTGTACTTACTTTACCTTCATTTCTTCGTAAGAGATTTCACTTGGCAAAATCCCCATATTGCCTCTACTAGACTGAGAAGAAAAGGGCTATGGATACACTGAGGTGGGAATACCTGGAGGTCTCTGGGTTCGCCAAGAAGCCAGGCATGAGGGAGGTGGCAGCTATCATAGCCCAGCATCCTGGGAAGAGTTGGTGTGGCTGGGGTTGATTGGGAGGAAAAAACACAGGGGAGAAGTTGATTTTTTCTATTGGGAGATTTATTGGCATTGGGTGAGTCTATTATTAATCCATAAAAGTTCCTTCCATTTCTATCAAGGCAGTGATTTCTCGTCTCCTCTAAAAGTCCTAGGGAAAACAAACATTTATTAATGGTATTGGCAGAATAAGTTATGTTGTAGAGCAGTAATGTCTTGGGGACTTCACACCAAAAAGGTCTAGTTCTCACTCAAGAAGTCCACTGTGGGCTGGGTCACCCCCCAGGCATCTGTCCGCCATGCTGTAACTCAACAATCTTGCAGCTCTGCCCTGTGGCCATGAACCCTCCTTGACTGTCGAGGCAAGGGAAGACAGAGCTGGAGGGTTGAGCATTGTCTCTTCTGAGTTTCAACCTATAAGATTCACCAGTTCACAGCCCGCCAGACAGAACTAGTCCCATGGCTCTACCCAAGGGAGTGCGGCCAGCAGCCCGGTTTCTGTTGCACTGATTGAAATGAGAATCTTTATCCAAAACTGAGTATCAATGACAAGTACAGATAGACATCTCAGCCCCTTTCTCTTAAGGAAAACTCAGGGGACTGTATTTGTAGTGCAGAGTATTTGCTGACATCATGATGATGATGATGATGATGGGGATGATGATGATGATGACGATGGTATGAATGAAGGCACCCAGAAGGCAGGGACGGTGTGGTGCATCCTGGTATCCCTCACCCCGGGCCATATACATGCCTCTTGAAAAGGCTTCAACAAAGCCTGATAGGGGAAGTAAATGAAGGAATGAGGCATCCTGCATTCATAACTTCACGAGGCATTTCTTATTGCTATTCTTTCCCCGGTTATATCACATCCAGAAGGCATTTTACAAGCCAGAAATAGCTTCCTACTTGCCATCATTCATCTTGATGAGAACTGGAAGCCAGGGTCTCAGGGCTCTGGTAACAGTTAGGAAACGATAGGAAGAAGGTAAACTGCATTTCAGTCATAGACTATTGTTTGCCCCTTACCTAAATCTCTTTCCAAAGACACATATTAGCCTTCAGATACATTTGCATGTGAGACCCCTCGGCCAAGTCTTTATCCAAACCAGTCCATAAGCCATTCTTCCACTATGAAGTGCTCTGACCACCATCAGGATTCATGCTCGTGGTTGTTTTTCTCATAACAGTAATGGGTCCGTATTAACGACACGTTGTCTCTCATCTCGTTTCCTGTGCGGTCGATGGCACTCCCCTTATGAGGCGGTTGGGTCCTGCAGCCACTGCCCAGATAATGGCCTGTCTTGACATTTTGGCTTTGACCTTCTTAGAACCCACTCATGAATGAGCAAATGGCCCTTGGCTGGACTCCTAAAAATAACTTGTTTTGCTTGCTGCCTTGACATCTGACTGCAAAGTTGGTGATATGTATTATTAAGTAAATGGGAATTTTTAAAAAAATGTGCTGTGGTTTCTGCCCTGCTGATCTTATGCTGTGGTTTGAAACAATGTCAGGATTTCTGCAGACTCTTTGGCATTTGCTTATAAATTTGGGTACTCCTGAGTACTCAGTTCTCTTACTTCTCGGAGTGAAATCTTTTCTGCAGGCTTCGGTTTTCTCCTCTAGGCCCGGTGTCAGGCAACAGAACTGTGTACGTGCACGGTCATATTTTCATCTGTGTGCAGGCTGCCCCCTTGGGGTTTGAATATTAGCATTTGCTGATTTTTCCTGCCATATACATTTAAGTGCAGAGAGTTTCATTTAGATACAGAAAGGCCCGGAGGTTTGAGGGGGCGTGAGTTTTCATAAATGAGCTTAGTATGTTCAAAAAGGTAATGGGCAGTTTTATATGGACTATTTATAAACTATCGAAGGGGAAAAAAGGCACACTCCATTCTGGTTATGAGGATAAGGCACACTGGACGAGAAGACTGTGTTCATTCAAGTTTAACCCCTCGCTATCAAAAGGTTTGGAATGGGTGGAGATCGGTTTCAAAGAGACAGCAGGCCAACTAAAAAGCACCATACGATATTAATCCCAAGTAGTCCTATTTTTCTTTGTCTCTGCAATTTATTAAGGAGCTGGCAATAATCAGAGAATCCTGAAAAACGAGGAAGGGAATGATCCCATTTTTTAGTTATTTGGTTGTCTCATAATTACAATCCAATATTTTGACTTTGGTCTCTTGTTCGCACGTGTCTTTGGTTGTAGACCAGATTGTTCTTAACTGGTTATAATCTACTTTCTGGATTTTCTAATTGAAGAAAACACATTAATCATATGTCCTCGTGCTCTAGCCTCTTATTTACTAAGAGATGCATTAATTCTTTAAATGGTATGAAATGAGTGTCCAGACTGTCAGTTATGATTTTCTAATTGCTAACAGTCCACCTGCACTTATTCAATCTTTCTTTTTTCTAGTGCTTGTATATTCACAGGAACTCAGTCCAAATGGTTCGGATTTATAGATACGCTGCAGGTGTTTGACACAGGGAGGATTATAAAGATGCCCAGACT